TTTTTTTTTTCCTTAATTTATCATTTCGGGTTGATATAATTTTTAATTATTTTGATAAGTGGTTTTACTTATTGGAGATAATAAGTGAATTAATTTTTTTTTATTTTTTATCTCCTGTTTAGTCTTGCTGTTTAGGTAACTAAATGGTAATCCATCACAAAATTGAACACAGGGTTACTCTTAGATGATGATGGAACACAAATATAAATTTTACAAAAGTAGAGGATAAAGTCATTTCTACGATACTACCGATAGTAAGGACTTGATGACGATGAACTTACGAAAGTATATTATAGCGATATGATTGAGAAAAATGATTTCTAATACCACAAGTCCGAATTATCTCATGAAATTAAAAACCAATCCATGTAACCTATTCAAAATTTTTAGCAGCATGCCTCAGGTCAGAATATTAGTTCTCGACTGTGTTTCATAATCCATCCTTTAAAATATCGTATTAATGGATACAGTCGCCACAATCAACCCCACACCAGCAAAAAATTAATATTGCTGCGATTACAAGCGAAATGAAACTTTATTTACAAACGATAACTACTTAAACGACACAACATGAATTTTTAAATGTAGATTTATGTATTTCTGGAGAACTAATTGTTGAAATTTTATAGCAGATTTTCATGCTGAGTTTGACGCTTTGTTAGGATCCTAACGTGTAAAGTAAATGGTAGGACTCGTAGTGGAAGAAAAAAAAGAAACAAGAACCAAAGTATATTGTCATATCTGTTTTTTTTTTCCAAAAATCTGACAAAATATAATAAATTTAGTATAGTGATAAAGTCGGTATATTTCAACATAACAGATAAAATGTTAATCAATTTGCCATTAGGTAATTCGAAATAGAAATAACATTATTAACAGAGTAGTGTAATTGTTCCATCACACGGAAACATTTGATGGTGATTTTACAACTATTGCTTCGTGCGCATCCATAGTTATTCTTCCTGATGGCAGAGTATCCCTGAAAACCACAATAAACCTAGATTAATGATTTTGTGACTTTTTTAAGTCAAGAATTTTACATATAGATGAATAACCCTGAAGGCATTACTGTTTGAAACATTATATATAATAACCGGGTGAATAAAATAAAATTATTAGGATAGAATTATTCAAGCAACTTAAAGGGGGAAAAGTGTTTTATTTATCGATAATCAACACCGACGTTTCGCTTTTTGTNAAATCGGCAACGAGCTCAAGTAAAGTATCAAACATTTTAGGTAGCGTACTTCAGAACAGCATTAGTTTCGTAATGTCAGTTCTTTGCCCTGTTCCATGATCTATCCTTAAAATTATCGTATTAATGGCTACAGGCGCGACAATCAACCCCTCACCGACAAACAATTAATATTGTTCCGATTACAAGCGATATGAAACTGTATTTACAAACGATAATCACTTAAACCACACAAAATGAATCTTTTAATTAAAACTAATGCATTTCTGGAGAACTAATTTTTGAAATTTTATAGCAGATTTCCATGTTTCCAGTTTCACACTTTCTTAGGCTCGTATTGTTTAGAGTAAATGGGAGCAATAATAACCACCAGGTAGGAGAATTTCATTTAATGGAGTTATTTGCCCCTTAATTGTGACAATTGACTACCAAAAATAAATAAAGTAAATCAATAACAATAATCGTTAAATACGTACAGTTGTTTTAAATGTGCTAAAACGAGTTTAAACGATGAAATATTTCACGTTCCCCAATTTTTACCACCCAGGCCCGTTCCTCCTAGGGAGTAACTTCAGATCCATAAATCTATCTATCACCGGTAGTACTGACCTATTTATATGATAAAATTAGTTGTCCTTATTTTGACAAGAAGACGAATTTTGGAATTTTTACATATTTATGAATTTCGGTGAACATTGTTTAAAATCGATTTCAGATTTTGATATTCATATTGATGTTTGAAAGTAACGAATTAGTACCCTATTTTCTGAGACACGTAAGTGGAAGAAAAAAGGAACAAGAACCAAAGTATATTGTCATATTAGTATTTTCTAAAAATCTGACATTTAGTTTAGTAATAAAGTCGGCATATTTTAAGATAATAGTTAAAATGTTAATTAGTTTATTATTGGAAAATTCGAAATAGACATATCATTATTAACAGAATAGTGTAAATATTCCATAATACCTTAATATTTTATTGTGGTTTTACTACTATTGCTTCGTGCGCATCCATAGTTAGTCTTCCTGATGGCAGAATATCCCTGAAAACAACAATAAATGTAGATTAATCATTTTGTACCTTGTAAATCAAGAATTTTACATATAGATGAATAGCACTGAACGCAATAATTGGTTGAAACATAATATATAATACCCAATGAACAAAATAAAATGTTTAATTTTGTATATCTTACCCTGCGTTTCTCGTCGAATTGCTGCTGGATAGAACTACTGTAACATTCTCGG